CGAACAGCCCAAAATTTCCGCACCGCGCACCTAGGAAATTTTTTAACCATGCAGACGGTCGGACGCGGAAAAACATGGCGGACCGGCAAGAACTAGTATGGCAGAGGTTCGTAAATACAGACATTTGTATGATTCAGCTCTCAGAGATCACCGTGATCAATGTGTTGTTAATAATTCTTGGAGAGAAATAGCTCGCACTGTCAGAAAAGACGAGGACGCTGTTAAAAATGCTGGAATGCCGTGTCGTAAACAGTCATTTTTACTTCTACTAAGGTGTAGTGTTGGATGCATGCCGTAGAGCTCCATGCTGCCCCCTACAGTTTGGAAGAATATTGGCTCACCACAGAGACAAGCAGCATGAACCATAAACGCTGCGAGTTGTGAAGTGCGTTCCATCCGCGAGCCGCATCACCAAGCAGAAAGTGAATGCGTCAAGCATAAACCAAGCTTTACAGGAAGTGCTGTTAGCTGTCTTGCTGCTAGCTTACTGTTATAGTTCTGAACGATTCATTAAAGGAAGTAAAACACCATAGTTGACTCATTGTTGACTCCACACTGTAATATCAAGTTGTTGGTAACGGTAAAAGCAGCTTGAGAGATCTTTAGAGCCGATTATTTGTTTTGTAATTCACAGTTAGCATTGATAGCTTAACATTAGCCTGTATCGTGATTCATCTGATATTTGAGTAAAACAAAAAAAGGCTGTGACTTCTTTAAAGTAAAAAAAAATGACTTCTGGGTCACTCCTGTTTACTGGTTTTTGGTTCATCGCTGGAGCCTTTCGAAGGCCAGTGTTGAATTGTAAATGCATACTCAGTTCTAGTAGTAGTTCTTAGTTCGCTGGGGACAGGGCAACCTCACAAACTCAGAGTGGAAACAGTATCTATGCCCCTCTTTAATTAAAAAGAAAAAGAACTGACAACCCCTCAGTCGGCTGAGAATAAAACCTGTCCAACACGATTGAGACATTAGGTGGTTTTGTGATTGTTTTACAGTGGAATTCTTACACATTGCACCTTTAAACAAAAAGATTTCTCACCAATTCTGGTCTTGTCAAACTCCACTGAAAAGGCTCTGACGAGATTTTCCAGGAAGGTTCGAACCAGCCTGAAGTTGATTCGTCCGATACTCCAAGAGCCGTCCACCAGAATCACAATGTCGGCTATGGCGGGAGTCTTGCACACGAATCCATCATCGGCTGATAGAAAGCAAAAATAAAAGCACAATTTAACATAATAGTGAGATAAGTGTTAGAATAAACTGAGCAGATGCCTGGGAAGATAAAAACGTTTAAAAATGACATTAATAGAGAGCAATGAGCATTCAGCAGCCTACAGGAACATGTGATAAATCTGCATAGGTAAAAGTAGGACAAAGGTATTTGCAGCTTCTGTTCTAAAGTATTACAAAGTGTTTCATTAATTCTAATTCATTTCAACGCCGTGTAATTAAGCCCCAGAGGAGCAAGGCACTTAGCTTTAGCAGATGAAAAATAACAGCCCACTCTGTTGTTTGTTTCAACTGTTTACTGGGTGATAAAACAGACCAGACTCTAATGAGGCAACAGCAGTTCATTTACAAACGCTCACAAAGCAAACGATGGGAGCTCAAGGCCGACCAAATTAAGAAACAGCTATATTTCTTCCGGCCAGTTATCTTTCCCACACCGCCTGGGTAACCTCAATAAGTTTGGGTCAACGTAGAAAAGAGAAAACCATTCTAAAGGTGGTGTCTTTTTTCATCCAAACAGCCCCGCCAACACAGAATGACTTCAGCGGAGAGAAACACGGCCCGCCGGTTTGGAGTCCGTTTCTGCAGCAGGTGGCACACGATTTCATATCCTTCATGTACAGGAGAGTATTTCAGTCAGGTTGCAACATGTTTCAACATTTCTAAAGGAGGAGAGGGTAGTGTATCAATGTGAGCATGAGTGATTGGAGAGGTGGCAAGGGCATTCTTCAGCAGTCATTCCACTACTGACAGGAACTAAGTGGAATATCACTTCTTACAAGTCTCTGCAGCGTCGGAATGTAAAAGGCCGCACCTGGGTTTAGTCTGTATCTAACACGACTTCACTGGGCAGCTGAGCCTACAGACGCACGAGATTAAACAGGAAAAATAATCAAATCACATTTTAACAGGATTTTCTTCTTGGTTATGTAGAAAATCTGAAAGTTTAAGCTTGTTGTCATAGAGGGGAACATTTTTGACAAATTGGCATCTTTTAGGATTTTGTGACACCGGTTTCAAACTTGTCAAGTTGGCATGTGTTGCCTGTTTGCTCTGGCAGAGGATGCAGCATCATTTAAATCTCACCTAGCACAGCAAGTCAGAGGTGAGTGGTAAGAGTTTTGACTGACTGAGGGTGATGAAACGCTCAGAAAGTAACTATTGATTGTACATCTACAACAAATTCTCTTTTGGAGTCATTCTATTTCAACACTGTTGCCACACCTCATCAAAATTTAAAGGAAAACTCTAGCAGTCATAACTGAGCTAATTTTACAGACCTTGAGCTAAAAATTGGTGCAAAAGTCAAAGTTCCATTAGTTGTCACACACACAGGTGTGTGTGCGAAATTTGTTCTCCGCATTTGACCCATCCCCTGGGGGAGCGGTGAGCAGCAGACACAGCCGCGCTCGGGAACTATTTGGTGGTTTAACCCCCCAATCCAACCCCTTAATGCTGAGTGTCAAGCAGGGAGGCATTGGGTCCCAATTTTTCAAAGTCTTTGGTATGACCCGACCAGGAATCGAACCCTGATCTCCCAGTCTCAGGGCGGACACTCTACCACTAGGCCACTGAGCTGGTTTAATATATTCAAAACATCCTTGAATGTGCAAATGTTTACTTTAAAAAGTTGACTGTTGGAGTCAACCCTATAAATGTGTTAGCAAATATATTTTGATCTAGGGGTGGGAATTGATACGAATCTGGTAACAATGCCAAGAAGACAATAGGATATATTGCGATACTGAAATCCAAATGATGTTTGCTTTTGTTAAGACTGAATTTAATAGGAAAATGCTTCCAAGACACATCCTGTTGTTGCAAGATCTTGTTTGGTTGGCCGGTTCTTCGGTTTTAGTTCCAATGAGATTCAAAATCTCTTTTCCAAGGGAATTCTGGCCAAGGTGGCAGTTAGAAACAGGGTCAGAGAGGAAAATACAAAATTAAAACAAATAACATGCTTCACTGACAGACAATTTACAAAACTCCTGAGGTGTAGACTCGAGTCACATGACTTGGACTCGAGTCAGAATCGAGTCATTATTTTAATGACTTCTGACTTGACTTGATAAAATCTATAAAGACTTACGACTTGACTCGGACTTGAACGGCAATGATTTGCGACTTGAATCCACTTGCATCTGTTGACTTGATGATGACTTGAGCATATTTGATATTTTAGCACAAAAGTGGCCCGACATGGACAAAAATCATTCTTGGTTCTGGGTGTGATCTTGTACTGCTGAATGCAGCAGCACTTTGTTTATAATCAAGTTCAGTTGCACTTTCTGCTTGTTTGAGCAAAACAAATGAAGCTTTAAGAAGCTTTCTGGAATTTATTCATCATCATTGTCATTAAAGTTGGACAGATGACTTGATTATGACTTGAAAATTATAAGTTAAGGACTTGGGACTTCCACTTTATTGACTTTGGACTCGACTTGGACTTGGTTGTTTTTGACTTAGACTTGACTGGAGACTTGACTGGAAAGACTCGTGACTTGCAAAGCAGTGACTTGGTCAGACCTTGGTTTTCTTTTTCTGTAGATTCATGTGAACAATTGTTTTGAAACTGTCTTTTTATGTAGCAACTAGCAAGGTGAAGATAGAACGACCTGCATAAAGAACAGTTTTTTTTCTTTCAAATTTGTTAATGTGAGCAAATGTGATTTATTAACTGAATTGGGGCTGGACTAGATAAGCTTTTGCTTCTTCCAGTTCCCTCTCAAATGGTTTTATGTTATTGTATGTTTTGTATTGTTTCATTCAACAGCATATGTTTATCGTATTCCTCATTTAAAAAAAAATAAATAAATTGTATGCACCAGGAATATGGGGGAGTGCATATGCAACTTCATGTTTTCGATGGTTTGAGATAAATAAATAAATAAATAAATAAATAAAAATAAAATAACCTCTGCAAAACTCAGCATCATCTAAACAAGCTCACTTGTAGCACCCCATTACAACACACGAGTAGCCTTTACCTGGCTTTAAACTGTGATCTCGTCACTAAATATTCTAAATGGTTCAAAATATTTTAACAGAATGTCTTTGGTTTCTGGAAGAAGTTTCGCACCTTTTCCAAGGAGCTTTGTCAATTATGACAGGAATATGTGAGAGTGGAGCTTATAAACGTAGTTTAACAAGCTGAAGAAGTTGTTTACAACTTCACTGAAAAGGCTCAGCCTAGCACAAGATGCAGCTCTAAACCTAATTTCAAAACAGTTTCAGTCTAGGGCACACCCTCCTGCATCCAATAATAATAATAATAATAATAAAAACATAACACAATAGGCCCTAACAACATCAATGACTCATCGGGTTGATTTTTCCATATTCTAGTCACCATTGACAAAGCTCCTCGGATGTTAAGCAAAACATGGTAAATGGCCTGTATTTGATATAGCGCCTTCTAGAGTCCTGGAACCTCCTGAAGGCGCTTTACAACACAATCAGTCATTCACCCATTCACACACCCATTCACACACTGGTGGGGATGAGCTACGATGTAGCCACAGCTGCCCTGGGGCGCACTGACAAAGGCGAGGCTGCCGAGCACTGGCGCCACCGGTCCCTCCGACCACCACCAGCAGGCAACATTGGTTAAGTGTCTTGCCCAAGGACACAACGACAGCGGCAGACTGAGCGGGGCTCGAACCTGCAACCTTACGATTGTGAGGCAGCAGTAGCTCAGGTGGTAGAGCGGGTTGCCGCCAGGGGTATCCTGCTGTCCGTAAGACACTTCACCCAACTTGCCTGTGTTAGTGGTGGTCAGAGGGGCCGACGGCGCCAAATGGCAGCCTCGCCTCTGTCAGACCTCCCCAGGGCAGCTGTGGCTACAAGTAGCTTACCATCACTAGCAGTGTGTGTGAAAAAGCGTCTTTGGGTGTCTAGAAAAGCGCTATATAAGTTCAATGATTATTATTATTATTTAACTCCTGTGCCACCGTCGCTCCACATCTTCAAAACATCTTCAAGAAACCAAAGAAGTTCAGCTGCCTTCATATGAACCTTGGGACCACCATGACCAGGATGACTGACAACCTTCACCAGCGCTGGGAATATTGTAATTTGATCCAATTCTACAAACCAAACCAGGTTGAAGGAGAAAAAACATAAAATTAACTTTTACAAAAGCTGCTCGAGCATGAGGGACTTCAGATTTATTGGGAGAAACGACATAAAGAACTTGAATGAGGTTAAATATTTTTTTACTAAACATGATAATAATTTGATAACAGTTAGATATCAGTCATGACATCTGGCAGGCAAAATTCATTCCTTTAATGTTTAATGTTCCAATTTCTGTTGAAGAACATGAGAGTACCGCGGTCTTTATACTCATCTATCACTGGGCCAACAAACCGCCAAGTGCATGATGCATACACTTGCTCCTATGTTCCATTTCTAGTAAATAATTGATCAAGTTGGACCGCTCCAAGAAAGTCAAACAAATGGAAAATGCACACAAGCACGAGAACATACAAAATTCACAAACCAAGACTACGATGCAACAGCATCGACCACATCACTGTGCTAGAGTCAGAAGATACAATTCTGCCAGAAAAATCAGTTTAGTAAACTTTTACCCAAATGAAATTAGACATGGTGTGAATCTGCTTCGATACCAACGAATGAGGACAACTTTTAAAATATGCAACAGCACGAATACCTATTTTAGAGTCTCTTTGTTCTTAATATGAAAAAGTACAGAGCAGCAAACCCTCCGCCTACAAAACGTTTGCCTCTAATGTCTTTCAAAATTAAAGACTTATCAGTAAATAAAGAGATACGACATGGAAATACACAAAATCCCTGAAATTAAGATCTTGTGAAGAGGAAGGCCTTAAACCGACTTAATGACAGAAAGGTAGGATGTTTGGTGGTTGACGCAGGAAGAAAAACTGAGATTAAACAGCCCTTTAGAGCACAGAGTGAAAGAAACGGCTTCCTTTTAATAGCAAG